GATCAGAGTTCTGCATGCTCTGACATTTATCAGTATTTGAGGGGGGGAGGGAGTGGGGAGAGGGCCTGGAGAAGGCCCCAGGAATTATTTTAATGTATCAAACACAAGTACTGCATTGGCTGTCTCACTAGAGCAGCCTGGGCTGACTGGTCAGCTCCTCCGTGGGGAGGGCAGGGCTGCTGGGCCAGGTGAGGGGTGCTCATCTCTCCCTTTCAGGTTGAACTTTGGTTTATTTTCTTTTTCCCCTGGGTCCAAACAAAATATTATAAATAAAAGCACAGTGTCAGGATGGAGTGTTTGGTTTTTTGGTTTTTTTTTTCAGGGAGTGATTTGATTCCTTGGAAGCAATAAGGATGGGAGGTAGCTCAATGCTGCCACAGCTCTGCTCAAGCTCTTGTCCTGTGGAGAGAGGCCTGCAAAGACAGGAGGGTCATACAAGTGTCTGTCTGTCCCTCTGTTTCTCACATAACACATGTTGAATAAAATGGCTTTAAACCCTCGCCTCCATAATCAGCTCCAGGTCCTCCTGCCATGTGCCAGTCCCTGGAGTGGCTCATTTAGGGCTGAGGTTTGGTAAGAGCTGGGCACAGAGATAAACCTGCACCCACCTTGTCACCCCTGTGGGCCTCTCAGGTACTTCATGGTCTTCTCAGCTGGCCAAATATCCAGAAAGTGGGAAAAATGTGCCTCATGGCAATGCCCCAATGCTGGAGTGAGGTGGGATGGTTGTGGGGCTTCCTACTTCCTCGTCAGGATCCCAACTGGGTTGTGCTGGTGAGTCCAGCTACCAGGGCTGGGTTTGTGCTTTGGGATAGCTGGGAGGGAGAGTATGGCAAGAGGAGACTGTGCCTTCCCTGTGGGACATTGCTGTGAGTTTGCTTTTCCCCAGACAAGATTTACAGCCTTGGGGGAAGCATAGGAAATCTCCGTTGCTGTGACAGGAAGCCACTTGCAATCAAGTCCTTTCTGCAGCACATCCAGCCTCAGGAAAGGAAATGGGAATGTTCCTTTCACTGAGGACTGGCTGGGCAGGAGGCACGTGAGGGTTTTGGCCCCTCACAGTGTCTGTGGCTCCTGCCAGCGCTGACAAAGTCACTGCACTGGCTCCAGCACCGCCACTGCACCACACACGGCACAGGTCAGGCTCCATGGTGGGGAAAATGGCTTGGACAGTTATTTTCCATTAATATTATGCCAGGGCCTACAATGGTTTCTGCTCCCCTTCCCCCTGCCCAGGGCACCCCCAGGCTGGCAGTGCCGGGGCTCATCACAGCCCGTAGCTTTTCCATCCAGGTAGCAAAGACCCAACCCCAGTACTGGGGTCACACTGGCTCTATGCTGGTGGCATCAAGGCTGGGGACAACCGAGGCCACCACTGTGCAGTGCCATAATGCACAGCCACTGCCTGGCTTGATGGACACGCTGGGTAGTAAAAAAACTCTTGTTAAAGCCGGGATGGAAAGCAGCAGCCACGGTGCCGGTGCTTTCAGAGAGCACATTTGGGGCCCAAGCGCTCAGCCCTGGAGATGTTTATAGCACTTTAGGTCTGTTTGTGAGGTTGGAGCCTTTCCAAAAAAAAAAAAAAAAAAGAAAGCAGGGGTGGGGGGGAGGAGAGAAAGACATATATTATTGTTTATAATCTGCTTTATTCAGCCAAACCTTTCCCCAGCAGCCTTGCGGATTGCTGTTTAAATCCCTTGGTGCCTTTAACTACCGATACAGAAAGTGGTTAATGTGCATTCGCCCTAAGCTTGGCATCTACTCCAGGAAATCACTTTAATTGAGAAGCATTAAATGTTAAAATGATTAAAATATAGAAAGCCAACACACCGGTGCCCACGGAGGGGCTTGGACCCCCCCATCCCACCTGGCACGGCTCTTCCATCTCACCTGTGCTGGGCGGGTGCTGCAGTGGCACAGCCAGGTGCCCACTGCCACTGCTGCAGGGTGCCAGGAAAGCTGTGGCGCCTCAGGGTGCTGTATGGCACCGATGGAGATGCCCACCCCAAACCCACCCACCTCTCTAAAAAGCCAGGGCACCATGACCAATGTCACCTGTTCCATACAGGAATGCCAGCTTCCTGGACAGGACGCCAGCAATCCTGATCCCAAACAGCCAGGGGTGCCAGAGCAGGCAGTGCTGGTGGTGACCACGGCCCTCCCACTGAGGAAGAAAATCCCAAAGACAGCAGCTGCTAAAGAGCATCCCGAGTTTATTTGCCATCGCTTTCCCTCGCGGCGGAGGGGGTGACTGTACACATCTCATGCCAATGCACCGGAGGCAGGGAACAAAAGCAACGCCCTGGGCCCGAATTCAGGGGCACTGGGCAGGATCATTTCTCCCCAAGACATGGCAATAAATAAGGTTTTATTCTTTGAAATTTTTTTTATTATTATTATTATTATTATTTTTGTCGGGGTTTTGTTTTTTCTTTTTTTTTTCCTTTTTTTTCCCCCCCAGGAAACAAGACTCTCACTTTCTGGAACTGTACAAAATTTACACAGCGAGGGGAGGAGGAGACATTTGGCCTTGTCGAAGGGGGATGGAGAGCAGCGGGCACGGCTCTCCCCCGTCCCCCTCCCCACCAGTGCCAGCAAGGCCGGGGGCTTGGCACGAAGCAGCACCCAAGGCTGGGGAGGGGGGAGGCACGTGGATGCAGCTGGGGCAGCTCCTGCAGCACCAATGCACCCAGCTGGGGGGGCAAGGAGGGACAGGGACAGACCAGTGATGTGCTTTCTTGTGTGGCTTTTTTTTTTTCATTTTTATTCTTTTTTCCCCTTTGCTTTCAGAGCTCCCAAGGCCCCTGGCAGCAGCCAGCTGAGGGGATCCACCCCCAGCCCTCCCTGATGGATGGCAGTCTGGGATCATCAGCATCACCCCAGAGCCAGAGGGGATGGCAGGGACCCGGGGGCTGGGGCATCCCTGTGGGGTTGGGACAGAGCTGGGCACCCCAGGCAGAGAGTGTGGAGCTGGATTTTATCCATGGGGCTGAATGTGTGAGGGTAGGGGGTGCGGACTGTGCTGGGGGAGAGAGGCACGTGGGTTTTGAGCAAGGGGCTGGTGCTGGGTGGGCCCAGCCAGGAGCAGACCCCATGGGGCTTGCAGGATGTGCCAAAGCCACCTGAATCCTCCCTGGATGCCTCCACCCACGCTTGGTGCCATCAGCCCCACGGCACCAAAGGACATCGGTGGCCTATACCAGGGACATCTCACACCCCAATCCCCTCCACTCCCCACCACACAGCTGCTTCTGCAGCTGACAAAATACCCTTTTTCCCCCTTTTGGGGGGAATTTTTTGCAATACCCTCAGAGCAAACATTGCCCACCTCTCCCACCCACCCTTCCAGCAGCTGCTTTCCAGGTGCCAGCCCCAAGCATCCCTGCTGGCTCCACCACAGCCCAGCTTGGCCAGTGGGCATCCCGAGCCAGAGGCATTGTTTTTTAATTCCTCCCCATCGCGTGACCATGGTGAAACCGCAGTGATGCTCCATAAACACTCCTGTGTGCCCAGGGATAAATCATAGCCCCGCGGCCACCAGGCCAGGAGCAGGCAGGATCTTCCCCGGCAGCATCGCCCCGGGCAGCAGGACAATGGCCCCACTCGGACACGTCCCCGGCAAAATAAACCCTTCTACAATATAGATTTCTCTTTCTGCTGAGGCTCCGGGCAGCGCCGAGTTGCATTTCAGCTCCGTATCGAAAAATAACTCTTGAAAATAGCAGCGGTGCTCGGCAGGGGGGTGCGGGAACTGCGGGGCTGGTGCGGGTGCCGGGACGGACTCTGCCATCCCTGATTGTCCTTCTTTCCCTCCCGCTGTCCCACACTACGGCCGTGCCCCAGCCCTGCGCCGGGTCCTCGCCGTGCATCCCGTGCGCCGACATCTCTCTTGTGCTTACACCCGAAGGCATCCGTGCCCCCCGCCCCGAGCACAGACGCCCCTACCCACCGCCAGTGCTGCCCGCCCCTCCCTGCAGCCCTCCGGGACCAATTCCCATGGGAAATCCTGGAAAGGTCAACCGCCGGCGGGTGCCCTCAGTGCTGCGCTTGCGGGCTGGGGGGGGGAGCGAGGGGGCCGGGGCGGGGGGCGAGCAGCGCTTAGAAAGGGGGGTGATCCATGTCGTCCAGCCAGGAGGCCGGGCTGGTGGGAAAGTCTGGGTACCCGACGCTGCTGCCCGTGGAGATGTCGGAGGTGGGGCCCCCCCCGGCCATGGCCCGCAGCGTCTGACTCACCCCCTGCGCCCCGTGGGCCACCAGCCCCAGGCTGCCGTCCATGGCGTAGTCCAGCCCGTTCAGCAAGGGCGGGTGGGACGGCAGGGAGGAGATGGAGGACGGCGACTGGGGGAGGCCGTAGGGACTCCCGTCCCGCAAGTCCTGGTACGACTGTCCCGTCCCCTCCATGGAGAAGCCGCCGTTCAGCAACTGTCCGCCCGCCACGTCCCCCACGGTGCCGTAAACCCTGTTGTTGTGGCCCAGCTCGGAGAGGATCTGGTCTTCTGCCGGGGAGAGGAGGGAGAGCAGAAGCGGGGGGTCAGCGCAGGGGGCGGCCCCGCGGCCCCCCGGCCCCGCGCGGGCGCCCCGCTCACCGCGGAAGCTGAGCTCGCTGTCGCTGACTCCGCAGTCCTCGGCCGAGCTCTCCTTCTCCAGCTTCCCACCCCCGCGGCTCCGCTTCACGCTCTTGTAGAACTGCCCCCAGCGGTGCCGCCCCGCGTCCTTCTTCAGCCGCTTCTCCTTGGCCCGGCGGTTCTGGAACCACACCTGGGGCGGGAAATGGGGACATCGATGGCACCGCGGCACCCTGGCACTGCTGCATGCCAGCGCTCCTGCATCCAACACCCATGGAACCGCTACATCCCAGCATGCCAGCACCTCCGCTACCCAGCACCCCTGCAACCTCACATGCCAACACCCTGCAATCCAGCACTCCTGCACCCCAGCATCCCTGCAACCCAGTATGCCAGCTGGGGTAGGGGGGGGACATGGATCCAACACCAGTGCGCCCAGCTTGGAGGGCAA